ACCAAAAAAAAAAAAAAAAAAAATCCTATAGATATCACTCATTATATCCATTTCAATTATATTCTTGAAAGTTGCTTAGTGAGGCAGTACTTACAGTCCTCAGAGTCTGTAATTTATGCGTGAGCTACTTGGGTATGGGAGCTCAATCCTGCAGGAAGATGCTGCTGAATCTTTCATAATTATGTTCTTTTTTTTTTCATGGATGAATCATTTATTTGCATTTCATACTTATGTCCTTAATAAGATTTTGTCAGAGTTGAAGAGGAAGGAGAAATGTTTCATGATTTAAATTATGACTGTGCACAGTTCAGGTTTTAGTAAGCGTTGTTACTCAGCTTTCCATATTGTAACAAAATACCTGAAATATGAAAAAGAGAAAAGGTTTTTTGGCTTATGGTTTCAAAGGTTTCAGTCCCTAGTCAGTTTGCTCCATCATTTATGGGTTTATGATCAGGAAGCATATCATTGCAGGGTACGCATGATAGAGCAAAAAGTTTTTCACTTCATGACAGCTACAAAGGAAAAAAAAGAGAGGAACCATGACCCACACTGAGGACATGTCCTCAGTGACCTATAACTTTCCTCTAGGCTCCATCTCTTAAAGATTCCACTACCTTTAAGCAGCATCAGGTTGGTGACCAAATCTTTTAAGCCTTTGGGAGCTATTATAGACCAAAATATAACAAGTACTACATAAAATCATTAGCTGTGAAAAGTATATTTTCACTTAAATTAAGACATGTTGTAGCCAGGCATGGTCACACGTGCCTATAATCCCAGCACTTGGGAGGATTGCTGTGAGTGCGAGCGAGGCCAGCCTGAACTATGGAGTGAGACCTTGTCTCATAAAACAAAAACAAAAACAAAAAAAGGACATATACTGTCCCTTAAAAATATTGAGGAGTAGGCCAGGAATAGGTACATGAGTCCCACCCACTCTCACCTGGCAGAATACAAGTACTGCTAAGTACAGTAGTTAAATAGTTTCTACAGGGCCTGGGATTTAGCTCAGTGGTTCTGCTGCATGCCCCATAAGGACAAGGTCCTGAGTTCAGTCCCCGGTACCAAAAGAAAAGTTTCTACAAGGATAGAAGCATCCTCCTATCCTTGTGAAGCAGGGCATCGGTAGTAGTTGTAAAGAGGAGAATGACAAACTATACCTTGGTTTCTTTAGTACATCATGGAGTTGACATTCAATCAAGCTGCCAAGGGTGTCAACAAGGAGTTCACCGTGAACATCATGGATACCTGTGATCGCTGTGATGGCAAGGGGAATGAGCCTGGCACCAAGGTGCAGCATTGCCACTACTGCAATGGCTCCGGCATGGTAAGGGCGCTGTGGAGCCCCATCCTCCCTGCCATCTCCACTATTCCTTTCTTCTCTGCTCCTGTGGGTGCTTATTCAGGCGTCCCTGCGACCTTGAGAGTTCGTAGGAAGACTGTTTAATCTGGAGCTTTCTTCGTTTTTCCAGTAGTGCTCTGTCTTGGTCAGAAAATGCACTTTGGGATATTTAGGTAATTTGAAAATCCGGGGAGGGGATTTAGCTCAGTGATTCTTCCGCCTGTCTTGCAAGGGCAAGGTCCTGAGTTCGATCCCTGGTACCAAAAAGAAAAAAAAAAAAAATTTTTCACAGGCCAGTTTGAGCCCCAAAAGACTTCCTCAGAGATAATTTGAACATTAAAGTAACTATGCAGATTGTAACACAGTGAATAAAGAAAGAATCCCTAAATTCATACTGATATAAACTAATAAATGGAAAAGAGAAAGTCTTTAAATGTCAGCTGCAAGCTGTGGTGGCATACACCTGTAATCCCAGCATTCAGGAAGCTAAGGCAGGAGGATTTGTGTGAGTTCAAGGCCAGTTTTAAGGCTGACCTGAAATACATAGTGAGACCATGTCTCAAAAAAACTCAAAATAGGGGCCAGGGATTTAGCTCAGTGGTACTGTGCCTGCCTTGCAAGCACAAGGTCCTGAGTTTGATCCCCAGCACCAAAAACAAAAAACAAAAAAACCCCAAAATAAATAAGTAAAATAAAATAATTTTAAAATAAAAATAAATAAATAGAATTCCAACTAATAACACAGACAGGATGCTGGAATTAGAAAATCACCCTTTTGCAACCATTGTGGTAATAAATAACTTAAGTAAGAATTATCAAAGAAAAAATATGAGAAAATGAAAAAATGGAAATGAAGTGTTTGTAAAGTGGGAGGGGAGGAGGGGTGAAGGGAGGGCAGGGACAAGGGGAAAAAATGAGAACCAAGACCTGTCACAGTAAAGGTACAAGATTCCAATAATGAATGTAACTGTACTGTATACCTAAAATGTACCAATAAACTCAATGAGGGGAAAAAAAAAAGAATTATCAATAGATGAAAAGACTAGTGGATAAAAGTCTGAGGAATAGAACACTTATACAGTCTCAAGATACCTCACAATTTATTAATTTCAAGGGAAAAGCACAATTTTATAGTAAAGAAGGCTGAAAACTAGTTAACAAATAATCATCATCATTGTAATGATGTCAATAATGGGACAAACTGACATCTTATGGCTCCTCATGTGTTCCACTGAAAAGAACATATCTTCTCTGGTATTGTTTTGTTTTGTTTTTCTCTGTGTGATGTTTTTGCCAAAAAAAATCTGTATCTTACGAACTCAAATCAAGGGAGATTCTATTAAATGCCCTGCAGTCTTCAAAAATGCCAAGTTCATAAAAGAAAAAAGACTGAGAAATAGTTCCAGATTAAAGGAGACTAGCTGGGCATGGTAGCACCTTTTATAATTCCAGCACTCTGTGAGGCTAAGCCAGGTGGATCACAAGTTCCCATCCAGTCTGGACAACTTAGACTCTACCTCGAAAGGAAGGGAGGGAGGGAGGGAGGGAGGACAGGCAGGTGGGTGGAAGGGTGGGCTCAGTATAAAGACTCTTGAGTTCAACCCAATAACGCATACACTTACATATACACATACATGCACACAAAAATGAAAGATATGACAGCCAAATTCTACACAATTCTAGATTGGGTTCTGGACCAGGAAAAACTTAGAATATAAAGACAGTTCAGAGGGAGTGGTGGTGCACAGCTGTAATCCCAGCACTAAGATCACTGTGTATTCAAGGTGAACCAGGGCTATGTGGTGAGGTCAGTCAACCTGGAATATACAGTGAGACACTATCTTGTAAACATCAAATGTAGAACAAAAAAAACGACAATTGAAAAAACTTGAAACACAGATGATGATATTGTATCAATATAAAATTTCCTGAGTTTGAGAACTATACTGTGGGTACATAAAAGAATATTTATGTTGGGCTGGGGATTTAGCTCAGTGGTTCCACCACCTGCCTCCCAAGCACAAGGACCTGAGTTTGATCCCTGGTATCCAAAAAAAAAACCATACACCCACGCACAGACACACACACACACACACACACACACACACACACACACACACACACACATAAAATGGGTGAATCTGGATAAAAGGAATGAGGGAGTTGGATCTTTATACTGTTCTATAAGTATGCATTATATAAAACAGTTACCAAAAAGAAAAAAAAAATCATTATACTTCAAGCAATATCTAAGTCTTTCACCTGATTTTTGTTTTGTTTTTTGTACCGGGGATTGAACTTGGGTCCTTGCACTTGCAAGGCAGATGGCGGAACCACTGAGCTAAATCCCTGGCCTCAGACTGTTTTTGGTCTTGCTCTGTAGTTCAGCCCAGTCTCGCCTCAGACTTGTGGCAGTCCTCTTGGGTCACCCTCCCAAGTGCTGGCAGTATAGGCGTGCACCACCACACCCAGCCTGTGTCCTTTTAAAATGGTCAGTGATACTTTCAGTAATTCCTTACTTTCCATCTGGACGAGGTGTTCTAGGCTAAACTTATTTGTATTTGATCTGCTTTAGTCCTAGGATTAGCTATTACCACAGTATCTAACTGTGCTAGTATCTAACGGATCATGAGACCATGATCTGAGATCTAGTGTGCTCATTGCTCCTAGTGCTTCAATCCTAGGAAGCCCTTCAGCAGACTGAGCCAGGAAAAAAATATGTGTGTGCACATATATAGATAGGCATGCACATTTGTACATCTCTTTACAAGTCTGTATTCACATACATACATATGTACATACCTATGTACATATCTATCACAAGCCATGAGTTCAACCTGATGCTTGCATATTTATAATTTTCTTCTAACAAAGAAACATCTGGCCCTGATTATCTTTGATGTATTTACTCATTTCCTCAACCTGATAACACACTAAAGGAGCTTCAGAATTGTTAACTCATACCATGTAGCAAATATTCCAGCTTACAGGAGTTTGGTACTTAGCATTGTCAGTAGTAGGAATGCAGTTTAATGCTAGAATGTGTGCTTAGCACATGCAAAGTCCTCAGTTCAATTCCCAGCGCTGAGGGTTGGGGAGGGACAGACAGATGGAAAGACAGAATAAAATAAAATTCCAGAATGATATATATAATATATATTCTTTATAAATTTTTTACATTTATGGAGAGAGACAGTTGTTGAAAGAATACTCCAAACCAGGCATGGTGTACTGCATGCCTGTAATTCCAGCACCCTGGGAGGCTGGGAAAGAGTTTCACAAATTTGAGCTCAGCCTGAGCAATGTAATGAATCAGTGAGAACACACACAAAGAAAGGAAAAAAAAAGATTGTACTGGGATAGAGCTCAGTGGGAGCAAATGTATGAGGCCCTAGGATCAATCCCCAACACCAAAACAAACAAAAAGAGTTTGTTAGCCCGGCGTCGTGGTGCACGTCTGCAATCCCAGAACTCAGGAGGCTGAGGCAGGAGTATCGCTGTGAGTTGGAGACCAGCCTGAGCTACATAGTGAGTTCCAGGTCAGTCTCAACTACATAGTGAGACCCTGTCTCAAAAAAAAAAAGTTAGTTGCTGTGAAGTTAGAATGAAGGAAAAATGAATAACACTTTCTTCGTCTATTTCTATATTCTTTGATTTTCCACATCAAGCCTACATCTGATAATGTCCTCATTGCCCCCAACCCAGTTTGAAAAAGTTAAAAAGACATCCAGTTTCTATATATCAAGTAAGGGTTGATGGGAGTGGTTCATATCCTAAGTATCCACCAGCTCTGGGAGTGGCTGGGGGTCTCCTGAAGAATGGAATAAGGGGAGGTTTGTTTTTTTTGGTTTTTTGAGACAGGGTCTCACTATGTAGTTGAGGCTGACTGGAACTCACTATGTAGCCCAGGTCTCGAACTCACAGCGATCCTCCTGCCTCAGCCTCCCAAGTGCTGGGATTACAGGCGTGCGCCACCATGCCCGGCTAAGGGGAGGTTTGATATGGGGAAAAAGGGAAAAGTTGTTCCTGGAGGAGCATGTGTGAGAGTGTGTATGTGACAGTGTATGTGTTTGCACTGTCAGCTTGAGTTCAAATCCTGGGTATTTGGCCCCATGGTGTGTGTTTCTTTTTCACGTCAGCAGATCAGTTCCCACTGAAGACTTCCCCAAACCATTTTGAACAAGTTACATTTCTTACCTTTAATTAGGAGGAGCAGAATTAGGACCCTTGGGTGTTAAGAGCCAGGATACAGACTTCAGCCTTGGAGTCGCAGATTCAGTGAGCAGCATGACAGCTCTGGCTGGGGAGAGGAGGGATTGCATCCATCTGTCACTTTCTTCTCTTGCCTATGTTTTCCCAACTGTCACTTTTGTAATTAGTGAGGGAATCACCTTTTTAAATGTATTGCTCAGCTCTTGAGGTTTTCACGCAGTGTCTCATGTTTCTTCTGTCAGCAGTGTGGTGATCTGGAGGTGAGAAATTGATGTGTTCTACTAGTGTGAGCCCTGCTCCTGTGCTTTTAGGCACATGCATATAAGATACAAGCCTTTAATGAAACAGTCTCCTCATGTATCAGTTTACCTACATATTTACATTTTTCTCTTTTTCATCAGGAAACCATTAACACGGGCCCTTTTGTGATGCGTTCCACATGTCGAAGATGTGGTGGCCGTGGCTCTACCATCACAAATCCGTGTGTGATCTGCAGAGGAACAGGACAAGCCAAGCAGAAGAAGCGAGTAATGATCCCTGTGCCTGCAGGTGGGCTCCCAGGTTCTCTGTGCCTAGGACAAGACCGAGGCTACCATTTCCTATGAGGTGTGGCTGTTGGCAGAAGCTGAGGTCGAGTCTCTAGAGCCCTGGTCTGGAGAAGGCACTAGAATCTTCTTGAATCTCTATCTTTGCTCCAGTCATCCTTAAAATGCATATCTGTGCTCCTGTGTGGTGAGGAAGCAGCCCCTTTCCCCTGGTTTCATCTCCTTTGTCCCCCTCTTCAGGCACTGAGGCCAGCATTAACGGGATTGAGTAAGGAAGTAGTGGGTCTTGGGTATAAAGTGCTGTGGGAGGTCCCACTATAACTACTCTCTTTGGGATTCTGATTCTTCTAGGAGTTGAGGATGGCCAGACTGTGAGGATGCCTGTGGGGAAACGAGAAATTTTTATCACATTCAGGGTATGTACCTTCCTCCACAGCTTCTGTCAAGCCCTTGCTCTCCTGGAGTGAGTGCTGTCGAGGCTGCTGGTTGGCATGAGGTAGGATCATTGTGGGTGTACTTTCCTTTTCTATTTTTACTTTTTTATTTTGAGACAAAGTGTCCTAAGTTTCCCTGGCAGGATTCAAACTCGCGAAGCTCCTGCTTCAGTCTCCCTCGGTGGTTGGATTACAGGTATGTACCACCGCGCCACCATGCCTGACTCTACCTGCTGTCTTTGAATAAGAGAATGACTGGCATGGTGGTACACGCCTATAATCCCAGCACTCAAGAGGCTGAGGCAGAAGAATTGCCATGAGTTTGAGGCCATCGTGAGCTATATAGCGAGACCTGTCTCAAAAAAACCAAAAGCAAAAAGAAGAAGAAGAAGGAAAGCAAGCAAGCAAGCATAAGTATGACTTAGCTAACTGCTGTGTCACAGAGTACTGCAGGGCCATCAAGAAGAAAGAACCTAGTTGGGCGTGGTGACACACTCCTGTGATCCCAGCACTTGACAGGCTGAGGCAGGATTGCCTTGAGTTTGAGGCCGGCCTGGGCTACATAGTGAGTTCAGGGTCAGTTTGAATAAGACCCTGTCTCAAAAAAAAGGAGAAGAAGAAAGAACTGGTCGGGTGAGGTGAGGTGGTAATCCCAGTACTCTGGGGAGGCAACGGCATAAGGATCTCTGTGAGTTCAAGGCCAGTGTGAATTACATAGATTCTGTTTCATAAAAACAAAACAACAAACAACGCCCCCAAAAGAAGACTCAGAGCCATATGTGTGAACATGAGATGCCTCAGTTATTAATGACACACCAAAGAGCAGGTCTCAAGAGGTTACACAGGATAGGACACCATCTACATATTTTCCAGCACATGAGATGGATTTAATGTTATTTAGGGAAATGGAAATACATAGCAAAAGTAAAGTCATGCTTGTAGGAATGATAAATAATGAATTCAGGGCAGTGATTAACTGAGGAGCAACAAGAAGGTCATCTTTGTGCTATTTTATTGCTTAAACTACATGTGGCTACATTGTGTTTGCGATTTAGTTTCAGGTTTTTTCTATGTGAGATATTTCATTTGTTTTTAATTTGGTTTTTTGAGACAGGGTCTCACTATGTAGTCGAGACTGACCTGGAACTTACTATGTAGCCCAGGCTGGTCTCAAACTCACAGCGATCCTTGTGCCTCAGCCTCCCGAGTGCTGGGATTACAGGTGTGTGCCACCACGCCCAGCGATATTTCATAATTTAAAATAAAGGTAAAGCCAGGTGTGATAGCACATGCCTGTAATCCCAACCCTTGGGAGACTGAGGCAGGAGGATTGCTCTGAGTTCGAGACCAGCCTGGGCTACATAGTAAGACCTTGTCTCAAAAAACAACAAAAAAAAAGAAAAAGAAAATAAAGGCAAAAGCTGGGCCTAGTGTCCAAGTACCTATAATTCCAGCTACTACCAAGGCTGAGGCAGGAGGATAACTTGAGCTCAGAGGTTTAGGTCCAGCCTGGACAAATACAGTGGTACCTTGGTTCATGAACTTCGTTCTTTACATGATTTTGGTTGCAGAATTCGTTTGAGGATTCTGGTTGTACCCAATTTGCAAGCATATACTATACTATTCATTAAGTCCATCTCACAAAATAAAATAACAACAAAATGTACAGTAGGTCTAGGTTCAGTTCCCAGTACTTTAAAAAACAAAGCAAACCAACAACAGCAACAGAATACAAACAAAAACAATGTGAAAAGTAAATCTAGACAGATTAAAGATGATGTCAGGGGCTGGTGTGCAGCTCAGCAGCAGAGCACTTGCCTAGCATATCCATGGTCCTGGGTTCTATTCTGTGTATCACAAAAAAAGAAAGAAAGATGAAGGCAAAAGACCTGGAAGCCAGTCTTTAAACAAAGCGGTAGAAAATTCAGCTTCTCTTTCCATCTAATAATAGAGACAAGAGAGAGAAACATTGAGGGTAGAGAATATATAAATACACAAAATAATATTTATAAAATGAAATAAATTCCAGTGTTGCCAGTCAGTTTTGTTTCTTTTTGGTTTTTGTTGTTGTTTTTTGAGACAGGTTCTCACTATGTAGTCCAGGCTGGCCTTGAACTCCTGGTGATCCTCATGCCTCAACCTCCCAGGTACTGGTATTACAGGCATGCACCACCTTGCCTGGCTCTGCCAGTCAGTTTTGAAGGCAGTTTGTATTGAATAACCATCTGCAAGAAAATACTTTTTACTTTTTTTTCTTTCTGTTTTTTTTTTTTTTTGGTACCAAGGATCAAACTCAGGACCTTGTGCTGTGGGGTTGGCCGCAGCACCACTGAGCTAAATCCCCAGCCCTTCATTTTCACTTCTGAAGATATATTAGTCTATGTTTCTCCATTCTTTCTAATAAAGTAAAATTCAAAAATAATGTTCAGGGCTGGGGATTTAGCTCAGTGGCACCACACCTACCTTGAAAGCACAAATGCCCCCCCCCCCCCCATTTTGGTACCAGCGATTGAACTCCGACCCTTGTGCTTGCAAGACAGGTGGCAGAATGACTGAGCCAAATCCCTGGCCCTAAAAATTTTTTAAAATAAAAATAATGTTCATATAGCCAGTTTTGTTTGTCTTGGTATGGGATGGAACTCAGGACCTTGCGCTTGCAAGGCAGGCACAGTGCCGCTGAGCTAAATCCCTGACCCAGCCACTTTTTATTCTTATTGTGCTTTACAATTTGTTTTTTGAGATAGGGTCTTTCTATATGGTTCAGCCTGATTTTGAACTTACCATGTAGCCCAGACTGGCCTTGAACTCTGCACAATCCTCTTGCCTCAGCCTCCTGAGTGCTGGGATTACAGGCATTGCACCGTGACTCGCATTATAGTTTGTTTTTTCAGTCAGAGTCTATGTAATTTAGGCTGGTTTTGAACTCATTATGTAGCCCAGGCTGGCCTTGAACTCACTTAGATCCTCCTGCTTTAGCCTCCTGACTACTGGGATACAGGCGTATACCATCATTCCCAGTTTCCTTTTCAATTGATTTATGTGGAAGCTGAAGAAACCTAGACCTGTTTCATTGAAGGTGTGGCTGTAGAGTCTGTTACCCCTCTGAACTGTGGGGTGCTGTCTCCCATTGGTGAGTATATTTTTTGTTTTTGTTTTTGTTTTGTTTTTGAGACAGGATCTCACTGTGTAGTTGAGACTGACCTGGAACACTCTATGTAGCCCAGGCTGGTCTCGAACTCACAGTGATCCTCCTGCCTCAGCCTCCCAAGTGCTGGGATTACAGGTGTGCGCCACCACACCCAGCTGGCAAGTATATTTTTTGATGCTGTTCTTTAAATATTGAAGGTGATAAAGTATGTGAAGTTCTGATCTTAGGCCTCATGAGACATGCAGCTCATGTCCAGCCTCAGACAGGGCTTCTTTGGTGGTCAACACTCATCTTGTGTTTGGTCTTAGGTGCAGAAAAGCCCCGTGTTCCGGAGGGACGGTGCAGACATCCACTCTGACCTGTTTATTTCTATAGCTCAGGCTCTTCTTGGGGGAACAGCCAGAGCTCAGGGCCTGTACGAGACAATCAATGTAACGGTAAGAGATCATAGAACATATTTACCTCTGTGGTACTTGCTCTTTTCTCTGAAATGGGCAATGGCTGACATGGTCTGAAATCTGAAAGTCAAGTGTGTCAAGAGTGCTGAGGGGAGAACAGGCTTGAGGGCAGGCACTGGGAGTTTTAGGCTGTTCTTGGGTGAGAATCACAGGTCAGGACTTGCTGTGTGATCACTGTGGGGAGTGGTTCTTCTTTGCCATCCCCTCCTCCATAGGTCCGCAGGCCTGGAGACTGGGTGCACACACGATGCAAGGTGCACAGTTGTAGTAGGTGCTCTTTGCTGGTCTGGCTGTGAAAGCAGATGCCTCTGGGGCTGTATCTCATCCGTTTGGCCACCTCTGATTTTAGTAGCAGCCACAATGGACATCCTTCTGTGTCCAACCATACCTCTCACTCCCATGTCCAAGTCTACCACTTTTTGTATTTGCCTCAGAGCCTTCTATAGCTTCTGTATGCAAGGGACTTTGAGGTGGCCTCTTCCCATGAAGATGGACCCTGTGGATATAGTGTCCTGCCTGTGCTCCTAAGTCTGTCTCTGGTTTTGTTGTTATTGTTGTTTGTTTGGTTTTTTTTTTTTTTTTTTTTTTTTTTTTTTTTTTTTTTTTTTTTTTTTTTTGAGACAGGGTCACCATATGGTTCAGGCTAGCTTTAAACTCGCTATGATGTAGCCCAGCTTGAACTCCTAGTGCTTTTTCTGCTTCAGCCTCCCAAGTGCTGGAATTAAAAGCATATGCCACCATGCCCAGCTGTTCTCATATATTCTCCCCTCACTTTCTAGGCCTATGGCACTACAGCTCTTAACCTTAAGACCTTGTCATAGTCTCTGCTCTGGGAAGACTGCATCTCAACCAGTTTCCACGTCATTGCTGTCAGGCTTGCTGCAGATGCCTGAGTATAAGTCCTTTTTAAGGAGTTCTTTCAAGATTGTCTTTGTGGGGCTGGGAATGTAGCTCAGTTGTGAAGCACTTGCCTAGCATGTGCAACCCTAGGTTCAGTCCTCAGTGTTGGAAAAAAAGATTGTCTCTGCATAATGAAAATGTTTACTTTGGGACAGTGAGGACCAGGGAACATCACCGCTTTCCTTTCTCTATAGATCCCCTCTGGGATTCAGACAGACCAGAAGATTTGCTTGACTGGGAAAGGAATCCCACGGATTAATAGCTATGGCTATGGCGACCACTACATTCATGTCAAGATCAGAGTTCCAAAGTAAGTTCTTCCAGAGCACCAAACCCTGCACACACTCATCTACCAAGTGGGTGCCTACTAAGCCATTCATCTGCCAGATCCTGCACCCAGCAGTTAAGGTACCTGTGAGCTCTTGGCTTGGGCAGCTGCCTTCTCCGACGAAGTTGGATGTGTCCCAACCCTGTCCACTTCACTTCACAGATACATCAGAGATACTTAGCTCTTGCTGTTTTTTTTTTGGTACCAGGGATTGAACTTGGGTCCTCTTGCTTGTGAGGCAGGCAGCAGAACCATTGAGCTAAATCCCCAGCCAGTCTTGCTGTCTTTTTTTTGAGACAAGGTCTTGATATACAGTTCAGGCCGGCCTTGAACTCACTATATAGCCTAGGCTGGCCAGGAACTCATGGCAATCCTCTTGCTTCAGCCTCCTGAGTGCTGGGATTATAGGCGTGTGCCACCACACCTGTTTGGTCTTACTGTCTTGTGGGCAGAGTGCTGTGGGCAGGGTATATCCAGCTCCTCTTTGGAGGCCAGTTTCTGGCACTTGTTCTTTTTGTGAGATTAATTAGATAATTTTTCTTTCTTTGTTTTTTGAGACAGGGTCTCACTGTGTAGTTGAGACTGACCTGGAACTCACTATGTAGCCCAGGCTGGTCTCGAACTCACAGTGATCTTCCTGCCTCAGCCTTCCGAGTGCTGGGATTACAGGCGTGTGCCACCATGCCCAGCAATTAGATAATTTTTTACCTGCTTCACAGGCATTTGTGATACCCTCTCACCCCATCTCTATCACCTACAAACTGTATCTAGCACAGCATAGTAATGGTTGTTTAAACAATTTGGGGCATTTTAGAAGCTTGCTTTTGTCTTTGTTTTTTCCTCCCAGTACTGAGGATTGAACCCAGGTACTTCACACTGAGCTACATTCCCAGCCCTTTTTATTTATTTATTCATTCATTCATTCATTTATTTACTTATTTATTTATTTTTGTACTGGGGATCAAATTAGGGACCTGTGCTTATAAAGCAGGCGGTGGGACCACTAAGCTAAATCCCCAACCTGCCCTTTTTATTTTTTATTTTGAGCCATAAAAAGTCTGTGTCACTGTGTTGCCTGCCCAGGTTTTGGTCCAAACGGTGGTCCTCCCACCTCAGTCTCCCAGAGTACTGGGATTAACAATTTGCTCCACTGTGCCAGGCTGGGAGCTCTTCTTTACACGAGTTTGAGGTTAATTAATGTGGTATGTACTGCTCCCCGGTTGGGGTGCCACTTTCCCACATACTGAAGTTCTTGGCTGTAGCATGCTTGTCTGTGGAAGAGCTGCCCTGAGGAAGTGCTTGGCCGCTAACTCTGCTGGGTCCACAGGAGACTAACGAGCCGGCAGCAGAACCTGATCCTGAGCTACGCTGAGGATGAGACTGATGTGGAGGGAACAGTGAATGGTGTCACCCACACAAGCACAGGTAAGGGGTTTGGAGGTGTTGTGGCTGCACAGTGGGGCCTGTAAGTTCCTCTGAAGGTAGACAGTTTGGAGCAGTGTGTGGGGGTTACTACTTGGGAGTCTTGAAGCCCCAGAAAGTACTGTTGAAAGAGCTGGGGGCAGGAACAGCTGTGGTAGAGCAGTGGCCCCCAGTGAAAGTTTCTTTCCCTTCTTTGCATGCATCTGTGTGCTAAGAAAAGTGCTGGGTGGTTCCTGCCAGGCAGCTCTGTGTGTCTCAGAGTTGGTGTTCTGAGTTCTAGCCTTGGTTCTGCCACTTGCCTCATGACCTTGGGAACTTCCCCACATGAGAGGTCATTGTAACAATTTAAGGAGGAGATGAAACTGGAGAAATTTGTGTATTTTTGGCCCTGAACCCTTGGCCAGGATTGCAGTGTGTCTGATAAACAGCAACCACAGCATAAAAACCCTATCAGAGGGCTCAGTCTGCCTTTCAGAGAAGATTAACTTTGAATTTATCCTGCAGTGAATAATATATTACTTACCTGAGCTCATGTGCTATGCTTTGTTGGAGGAGTGTGGTTGCATATTGGTGATTTGATATCAACATACCTGGTGGCTGGAGCTTCGGCCATGGCACCTGCAGATGCAGTTTTTTTTTGTTTGTTTTGTTTTTTTTGTTTTTTTTTTGAGACAGTTTTGCTTTGTAATACAGGCTTGCTTTGAGCTCACTATGTTGCCCAGGGTAGCCTCAAATTCATGGCGATCCTCCTGCCTCAGCCTCCCAAGTGCTGGGATTACCTGCTTGTGCCACCATGCCTGGCTCAGACCCTCAATTTGAGGGAAAAGGGGGCCTCTTAATTGGTCAGGGCAGGCTGCCTCCTCCTCCTTCTCTTTTTTTTTCCTCTCCCCTTCCCCTTCTCTTACTCCCCTTTCTCCTCCCCTTCCTTCTTAATAAGTAACTACTTTACATACACTCAGCTTCAACTTGGGATCCTCTTGCCTCAGCCTCACATAGTGCTAGAATTACAAGCTTGTACCTCCACACTGGCTTTAAAAAAATTACTTTCAGGGGCTGGGGATATAGCTCAGTGGCACTACACCTGCCTGCCAAGCACAAGGTCCAGAGTTCAATCCTTGGTATCACACAGAAAAAAAGTTTCAGATCTAGTAAGGTTGTGAGACTAGTTATTCTGATTGTCCAGCTTCTCTTTCCTGAAAGCCATGTGTCCCTGCAGTTGTGTGTCATGTGATATTTGTTTATATAGTTATTTTCCCTTCCTGTCCAGTAGAAAACTCAAAGGGTGGATGTTTTACCACGTTAGAATATTGGATATTAACGGCTCCTCAGATTCTCTCTCTCTCTCTCTTTTTTTTTTTTTTTTGTGGTACCAGGGATGGAACTCCAGACCTTGTGCTTGCGAGGCAGGCGACAGAACCACTGAGCTAAATCCCCAGTCCAGCTCCTCAGATTCTTTTAAAAAATTTAAATGGTACTGGGGATCAAACCCAGAAGTACTGTACCACTGAGCTACATCTTCCACCATTTTTGTTTTTTATTTTGTGAGAGGGTCTCACTAAGTTGCCGGCTAGGACTCAGACTTGCAATCCTCCTGCCTTAGCCTCCCTCAGTGATGGGATTACAGATGTGTGCCACCCTACTCAGCCCACTTGTTGTTGTCCACCCTCTCTGATATCGTGAGAGTTGATTATTATAGTCAGCATCTTTGGAACCTTTGTGATTTTGGGGGAGTTCTTTGTGCTGGTGATGAGTTTCTTTTATTCAGCCAGATATATTAGGAACCTCCTATGTGCCAGAAAGTTTGTAAACACTTTGGAAATTCTTCATGACATAGTTTTATTAAATACAGTATAACCTTAATATATCTGAAAAATTGCTAATAAAATAAAATAGGTATACCAGATTAGATTTCTTTCTAAATGGCATTTAATCTTAGATTTGGCTGTATGTGGTATACACCTGTAACCTGTAATCCCAGCTACATGGAAGGCTAAAGTAGGAGGATTGCAAGTGTCAGGACATCCTGCGCAACTTAGTGAGACTCTGTCTCAAAAAGGACTAAGGATGCTCCTGAGTGGTAGAGTGCCCCCAGGTTGGACCCCCAGAATGGGGAGAGAATCTTCCTGGCTTGGCTTTGAAAAATATATTGTCAGTGTGCCACTGTGAAAAAAGTTACTTTTGCAATCCACATAGAAATATTACACTGCATATAGAATATTACAGTGCACTTTTGGTTTTTTGGTTTTTGTGGGGTTTTTTTGTACTGGGGATTAAACTCAGGACCTGTGCTTTTGAGGCAGGCGGTGGCACCACTGAACTACAGTGCCCTACAGTGCACTTTTGAGTAACTTCACTAATAGCAGATTTTATTCATTTAAATATATTGCACCCTGAATTCCTTTTTCTTTTTTTTTCTTTTTTGGTACCTGGGATCGAACTCAGGCCCCTGTGCTTGTGAGGCAGGCATCAGAACCACTGAGCTAAATCCCCAGCCCCTGAATTTCGTATTTCAAGAATGTAGCACAACTACAATGGTTTGGTTTGGAGACAGTTCATGCTATGTAGCCCAGACTATCCTTGATCTCACAATCCTCCAGCCTCAGCCTCTGGAGTGCCACCACACTTAGTTTTTTTATTTATTTATGTATGTATTTATTTATTATTGTGGTATTGAGAATCAAGCCCATGGACATGCTAGACAAACTGTCATTGAGCTATATCCCTAGGTATTTATTTTAATTAAAGTTTGTTTGTTTGTTTTTGCTTTGTTTTTTGGTTTTTTGAAACAGGGTCTCACTGTAGTTGAGACTGACCTGGAACTCACTATGTAGCCCAGGCTGGTCTCAAACTCACAGCGATCCTCTTGCCTCAGCCTCCTGAGTGCTGGGATTATAGGCGTGCGCCACCACGCCCGGCTCTGTTCTTTTGTATATATTGAGACAGGCTTGCTAAATTGGCCAAACTGGCTTTGAACTTGTGATCCTTCTGTCTCAGCCTCCTAAATAGTAGGGATTATAGGTCTGTGTTACTGTGCTCAACTAAATTTTCTTCTCCTTTCCCCTCCTGCTCCTTTGCTCCCTTCTCCCCTCTTCTCCTCCCTACCTTTCCTCTCCTTCCTTTCTCCTCCTCTCCCTTTCTTTTCCCTGCCCCGCCTTCTTTCTCCTCCTTTTGTGATGCAGGGGGTCAGATTCTTGGTTAGGCACTTGTGAAGGAACGTCACTGCCACTGAGTCACATCCCCAGCCCATACAACTAGACTTCTCCTGGACACAGTTTGCATTCCCTTGGTGGTGGTTTATGGAGTAAAGGAAACTCATATTTTAGCTCCCTATGGTACTGAGGCTTAAACCCAAGGCCTCACACACCCCAGAAAGTCCTTTTACCACTGAGCCATATCCCAAGTCCTCATGTCCTCATATCACTTTTTTATAAAGTTCGATTTAAATTTTATTACTACGTGAGTTTGTAGTACATAATGATAGCATTCAGCATGTGGAGTTGGTACATGTGTATAACACATATTTGTCATGTTATTTTGTAGTAGCCTTTAAGGGCTGCAGAGGTGGCTTAGTGGTAGAGCATTGTATGGTGTGTGAGGCCCTGATTTCAATCCCCAGCACCACAAAAACATGACCGTCAACGTGTGAGTTAGATCATCATTAGAGACTGGTCAGAGTTGCTCACAGATACACGTCTCTTCCTGAATGTCTTTGAAGACTTGTTTTCTTAACAGAAAAGTTTTGGTGGTTGGGATTGAATGCAGGGCCTTGCTCATGCTAAGCATGTGCTCTGCCACTGAATTATACTCACAGGCCCCGGTCTAAAATTTTTGATGAGGGCTGGGGATTTGGTTCATTTGTGCCACTGTCTGCCTTATAAGCACAAGGTTCCTAATTCGATCCCTGGTACCAAAATAAAATAAAATTTTTGGTGAGTTTAGTATCTCTTTGGTTGTTTCTCGTGTTTTTGTTTTGAAACAGTCTGGGTTCAAGCTGGCTTTAAACTTACTGTTTAGGCCAGGCTGGCTGGGAACTCACAGGTATCCTTCTGCCTCAGCCTCTCGAGGGCTCAGTTAAAGGTATGCACCTACACACCCAGCAACCTTTGTTTGTTTATTTGTGTTTTCTGATGAAACCCTTAATTAATAGCTGAGTGTCTTTTTCAACCTGTGAACAAGGACTGTTGTAGGGTGCTTTGGACTCTTAGCGGTCTCAGGGCCTAGAAGACAATGCCTGGTCTCTCAGGAAGTCCTGGACCTTCAAAGTCTTTCCTGACCTCTCTTTGTATCTCAGGTGCCTGAGCTACTCTCCTTTGGCTGTGGTCACTGGCCAAAGACAGAATAGGAGTGCTGTATGGTGCTTTCCAGCTGGAATGGCTTCCCTGGAGAGTAGTTCCTGTTTATTCTGAAATGCAGATAGTACGTATTGTGTACCAGCCTTACTTGAGGATTTGGAAGTAAAGCTTTTTGTGTCCTGAGTACCAAGGTCATCCTACAGGGTGGTCCCTCCTCCCCTAGCTAGTCCTCAGAAATCATGGCTCAAAGAGGGAAAAGGGTAGTGTATTTATAGATCGGATTATCTGTGTGCAGTGCTCACAGCCGGCCACTGGCATTTGGTTCAGAATTTCAAAGTCAGTTCTTCATGTCCTTTGACTTCCTTGATGGTAAACCTGTTTCCATAGGAGCCATAGCCCATTAACCCTGTTTACAGTAGAGACAGGTAAGATGAACGTGGTGGCACATGCCTGCAATCCTAGCTACTTGGGAGGCTCACAAGTTTGGGGCCAGCCTGGGTAACTGAGTGAGATTTTGTCTAAAACAAAATCAAATGGGCCGTGGATCTAGCCCAGTGGTACAGTGCTTGCCTACTGTGTGTGTGAGGTGCTGGGTTTACTCCTCAGTAACAACAACAACAAAAAAAAACAAGATAAAGTAGGGACAGATAAGATTGTTTTTCTGATTGTAGGAGATGAGACACATTTCAGGGTACACGCGTAGGTTTTGCTGTTTTGTTATTGTGCTTCTTGAATCACTAACCAGCTAACTAGGTGTTTGTTCTAAGTCTCCCAGACTTTGACCACCTGACTCAAGTACAGCACTGGCCATGGGACACAAACCATTTATTGAACTTTGGGTGACAAGAATGGCAGAGTTAAAAGGAAAGAAGGAAACAGCAGTCACTTTTTCTGACCCACTTAGACTAGTTAGGAGTGTGGGTTCTGATATGAGATGATTCATGTTCCAGCTCTACTATTATTAGCTGTAAAGCTTTAGGCAAATTACTTCATCTCTCTGAATCTCAGTTTCTCCATCTGTAAATTTGAGCTAATAGCAGTACTGTCTCCTTGGGTTTCTGTGTGATTAAATAAATTCAGATGGGTAGAGCCTATGACATGGTGTCTGGCATATATTAGAAGCTCTACCATGGATGATTAATGTTCCCACATACTGCATGATTTGCCATCTATTTATTGGGGACATAATAAAATTAAAAACTCAAGGTCTCCTTTGTCTTAGGAGGCCCACAAGTGAAGAAAGCATGGGGTTTGTAGATTTGTATCAGAAGAGTCCTTTTTGTAAAAAAAGATGGGATGAACAGGGAAGGTGCTGCTCATAGGACCTGCAGGGTACTGTGCAGGGCGTGGTCCAGGTCTGTGAAGACCCGGAGCTTGGATGTGACCCAGATGTGTTAGTAATTGTCTAGATCTCATTCAGCGAGAGACATCTGAGCTGTGTGAGTGCCAGGTCAGAGGAGTGAGCTATGTTCCCACTCTGTGCTGTACCAAGAGAACGCTATCTAGTCCTGCTCAGAGACCTGTCACCCAGAGCTTTGTGCCTCTCGCTCTTGAAGTCCTCATCTGACTCAGACTGAGCTCTTGGGGACCATGACTATGTAGACTGTGTTGTGCCCTGTGCAAGGTATGTGTCTTGGCACATTAAAAACACACCACAGGGGCGGGGGATTCAACTCAGTGGTTCTGATGCCTGCCTCACAAGCACAAAGGCCTGAGTTTGATCCCCGGTAGCAAACAAACAAACAAACAAACAAAAAACAAAAAAACACACACCCTAGGGGCCAAAGATTTAGCTCAGGCACCAAAAAAAATTTTAAAAAACTTTCAATTAAAAAAAAAAAAACAAAACACATCAGTCGGGGATTTAGCTCTGGTTCCATTGCCTGCCTCGGAAGCTCAAGGCTCTGCGTTCCATCCGGTACAAAAAAATAAAAATAAAAACACAACCTACCTGGAATGGTGGTGTGTGCTTACAATCCCAGCACTTGGGAGGCCGAGGCAGGAAGATTTCAAGTTAAGGGCCAACCTGGGCTACACAGTGATACCCTGTCAAACAAAAACAAAATAAAGTTCCCCGCAGTCTGAAATGCTGACACAAGTCTCTACTTTAACTTGTAGGAAAATTTGGCCCCAGCCAGGCATGGTGGTGTGAACCTGTGATCCCAGCACTTGGGAAGCTGAGGCAGGAGGTTCACTACGAGTTCGAGGCCAGCCTGAGCTACATAGTGAGTTCAGGACCAGCCTTAAAAACTACATAGCAGGGGCCTGGGGATTTAGCCCAGTGGTTCTGCTGCCTGCCTTGCAGGTACAAGATCCCAAGTTCGATCCCAGGTACCAAAAAACAAAACACAAAAAAACAAAAACAACTACATAGCAGGGCTGGGGATTTAGCTCATTGGCACTGCACCTGCCTTGCAAGCTCAAGGTCATGAGTTTGATCCTGCTACTGAAGGGGAAAAACCCAAACTACATAATAAGCCAGGGATTTAGCTCTGGTGCCAAGCTTACCTCAAAAACACAAAGCCCTGAGTTCAGTCCCCTGTCCCCACCCAGACCCCAGAAAAAAACACATAGCAAGATTATCTCAGGGGAGAAAATGTTTTTTGGCCCTCAATACCTGTGACAGGCAAATTTTTAAGGAATTTGTGCAGCAGGTTTCTTCTAGTCTCAGCCTGGGGCCTATAGCTACCCTTTACCTGGAGCAGTCAGAGTTAGGAGCTGGATGTAGGGGAAGTTGCTTGGGAAATACAGTCCCACCTGGTGTTGTGATACCTGAGATGAAGTGCGTGAATCAGAGGATTCTGCATGGCCATGGGTCCCTTGCTGAGTATCTTGGGTAGGTCATGTGTATACCCATACAATACAGAATATGGTTATTGGGCCTAAAGGTAGGGTCTTATCTTGGTGTGCATTTTATCTTAAAGCCAGTAGCATAGTGGTTAAGAGCTTGGATTTCAACTCATTTCTGTCTCTTGTTTGCTGGTTCTGGGACATCAAGTAAATCACCTAACTTCTCTATGTCCCCCTTGTTTTTCTCCTTCATGAAATTTACTAATAAGGTAAACTAAGGATTAGATGAGCCAATGTTTGTAAACCGTGTGGCTTGCCTGGAAGGGGAGAGCGTATAGATCTATTTTTGTGATTCTCGTTCAGATTAGCGACAGCTGGTCATTATTCGTGTTTCTTGTTTCCTCAGTTTGGGTCCATGACTTAAGCAGTTGAAAACAGTAAGACTGAGTATAGCCCAGTTGCTTCAGTCTGATAAGTGAGGCAGCCCTTGCCAGCTTGGGAGTGGCCCCTTCTCTTCTTAGGGTGGCACTTGGTTGCCCCTAGGGTGCCAGGCCTTGGGCTGCCTGGCATGGGTAGGTAGGGGTGGGAATGTGATTGATGGGAGGTGTGTGCCCTTGACCCTGGTTCTTTCTGCTGTTTGTGCCCAGGTGGCAGGACCATGGATAGCTCCACAGGAAGCAAGGCTAGGCGTGAGGCTGGGGAGGACGAGGGATTCCTTTCCAAACTTAAGAAAATGTTTACCTCCTGATATCCCAGCTGAGGTAGGAGAAGCCATGAGGTTCCTTCCCTTTGTTTCCCTATGAACTAATCCCTGTTTTCTCTCACTTTAACCAACGTCATACCCACACTACCCCACCCCAGGAGTTGGAAGAGGTACCGGTCCAAGCCATGGTAAATCTGGCATCCTTTCAGCCCTTGGAAGCAGAGTGTGGGACAGTGAGCCGGCACCCGGCTGGACTGGGCTATAGTGGCCAGCCTTATGGATTTTAACTCAGTTCAGGCTCTTTCCCACCTCACAGTCCTCCTTAACCAATTCCCAGGGGCTTTCAGTTCCACAGCGGTGGGACCAGCTTGCCAGCGGTCACAGAGGGAAAATTGTGGCGGAGCCAGGCCTAGAACTCAGATCCCCTCCACCCCTCTCAGGTTTTGTAGCTTTCCATCCTGCTTGGGCAGGGCAGCACTGCAAACCTGGGGGCTGCTGCAGGGTAGTGCTTGTGCTCTGTGCACTGTGATGTCTTGTTGTTTGTGTTTGCCCTGGTACTGAGGGTCTTGACCCTGTCTTGGCACAGCCACTCTACAAGGATTAGTGATGTGATCCCACTGGGATGTGAAACTTAACTATTTGTCTCCTTGGCTCAGGAAAACGATCCACTGGAAACTAGGCTGGGAGCAACAGTCCTTCCTTGTGGCCAGGCGTCAGAGACATGAGGATTCCAGAGCAGCAGCACTGAGCCCCTGGCCTGCAGAGCCCTCAGCTGCCAGGAAACAGCAAAACCACACAATAAGACATCTCTGCACAAAAAGGTCACAGTGGACAGCCCCTGGGCAGTGAATGTAGCACCTGAGGGCTGGTGGAAGCTTCCTGCTTGTGAGTAAGGGATGCACCTCTTCTGGCTCAGGCAGGGTGAGACAACTGGACACTTCCTTGGTTTTTTTGTTTTTTGAGGCAGGGTCTCACTATGTAGTTGAGACTGACCTGGAACTCACTATGCAGTCCAGGCTGGTCTCAAACTCACAGTGATCCTCCTGCCTCAGCCTCCGGAGTGCTGGGATTACAGGCGTGCACCACCATGCCCGGCTTGGACACTTCTTAAAGCACTAAAACTCTAGTTTGGAATCAAATGTAGTGGAGAGCTTAAAGAATTAAAGGATATGCTTTCAATTTAAAAATAAAGCTTTAGGGCCAAGATTTAGCTCAGTGGTTCTGCCATCTGCCATGTAAGCGTAAGGTCCTGAGTTTGATCCTTGGTACAAAAAAAAAAAAAAAAAATGAAGCCTTAAACCTCAGCAAGGTGTGAAATGATTCGTTTTCCTCTCAGCAAACCTCCAGGAGATCCTAGAACGAGTCCTTCTGACAGGTTGTCTCATCATGAACGGAGCTGCACACCCCACCAGTGCTATCCTCCCCCAACAGGCTCTGCACAGGCCTCCTCTTGGAGTTTGTTTTTAATTCCCCAAGGTACCAAGCAACTGGAAAATGTGTGCTTGACCCTGAGGAGGCTCCCAAAGGCCCACACAGTCCCTGCAAGTTCCACTTTTCAAGACAGACCCTTGCACCCCACACCGATGGTGGCCAGCCATACTGTTGAATTCTGTGACTCTAGCTGAGTGCGGTAGAGCTGCTGCACTTCTGAGCCGCAGCCACTGGGCCGTTCCAGGCAGACATCTGTCACTGTGGGAGCTTGGAGCCCTGCCAGCCAGTGACTTGGCTCTCACCACCTATACTGCTAACATGTATTTTCCAAGGTGTGTGCTAAGAATCATCTTCTCTTGCATAAATTTGTGTTCAAGAGAAAAACAGTCCAAGCCGGTGAAGCTTCCCCACCTTGCAGCCAGGGCAAACAAATGCCGACCCCAGCCTCTGCTAGTAGCACACTGCAGTTTCCACATGGTTCACAGTCCTTGGTAGTGTAAAACACGTTAATGAAAAACATTTCTCAATAGTCCCTTTTTTTCTTTATAATTTACAAAATTAAAGATTATATTAGTGTCTGATTTAAGTATGTAAAATGATTCTGTATCAATGTAAATAAGATTATCTTGTGCAAAAGATATTCAAAACCTAAACTGTGGTCATTTCTTTAAAAGAGGTCAGCAGCTGGAGGTGACTAGAGAAGCAGCTGATTTCATCCAGGTGGATCCTGGGCACCAACAGTGCTGATCCTGTGATTGTGAGACTGTGTGCTGATGGGAGAAAATGTTCTAGAACAGAACTGAGTTAACTTTTTCTAAGAACCCATGTTGAGAAACGTGTGTAAACTCACTAAGAGCCCACACATCATGTCCTTTGGGAGATTTTTTCCATTGTTTTCAGAGCTTTTGTGTTTTTTTTATTATTTTTTTTGTTATGTTTTTTTGAGACAGGGTCTCACTATGTACTTTAGACTGACCTGGACTTCACTATGTAGCCCAGGCTGGTCTCGAACTCACAGCGATCCTCCTGCCTCAGCCTCCCGAGTGCTGGGATTACAGGCGTGCACCACCACGCCCGGGTTTTTGTTTTTTTTTTAATTAAATTTTTGCTTATTATAGTTTAGTTTAGGCTCCTAGCACACCCTGATGTGTGGCACAGCTGGAGGCCCACACCAGTGTTCTGGGCTGAACAGGGATAAGTGTAAGTGGTTCATTGTGCTGAGTGGAGAAGAGATTGGGAAAGGCTGATGGGTGAGAGAAGCTCTATGGTGACATTCTGTGTCCTTGAGATTCTTCCTCGTATTCATCAGCCAAGTATCGCCTCCCTGTGTGAACTTGCATTGTGGCCAGGTGCTGTGCTAAGCCTGGGGCTGTAGCAGGGGCATGGGAAGAGGGCTGGGCACTGATGAAGGAAAGTCCAGATCTATTCCTGGAGAAGTCAACCAAGTCTCTCTCCCACCCTGTCCTGGGAAAGCAGAAGTCTGGAGAGGGATTTTGGAAGAGGAAGGTGGATTTTCTGTCTAGAGACACCCTTACAGATATGCTAAAACCTCCTAGGGGAGAAGGTGGCTATACAGCTGCAGAATTAGGTGCTGCTTCTAGGCTTGCGTTTAATTTATACCCACACATAGCTCCTGGGACACCTATTTCCAGATAACTTTGTATGTCTGAGTTAGGGCTGGGGTGCAAGACATTATGTGTAAAAATGCAAAAAACAAAACCAAAGGTGGGGGCAGGCATTTGGTACAGTCTTGTGATTCCTGTACTCTGGGAGGCGGGGGTAGGAGTGACTTAGCAAGACCCTGTCCCAAAATAAAAAATTTAAAAGGGGTTGGGGATAAGGTTCAGTGCAAAGGCCCTGGGTTCAATCCCCAGAACCTGGGGGGAGATGGGAACTATCTGTAGATCCCTGAGTCTTTGGGGATGAGAATAGTGAGAAAGGTTGATGGATGTGTAGCATTTGCTGAAATGTTACATCTCAGAGTGGGTGAGGTCCACTCTTGGGAATTGGCCCTCAATTGCAGCCCCTGAGCCACCCTCCTTGAAGTTGACCTAGGTTCTGATGCAGTGGCTTTTGCCTCCTATTATTAGAATCCTTCAATGAACAGGAATCCTTTTCATCCAAGCACTCAGGAGGCTGAGGCAGGAGGATTGCTGAGTTTGAGGCTAACTCAGACTACATGGACCATGTCCCAAAAAACAAAACAGAAAAGAGCATCCTCTCCACACTTCTACAAGTCCTGAAGCTGCCCCTGCACCAGACTACTTTGCCCGGCACTGTTGGTCAGACTTTACAGAGGCATGTTTTTTTGGAGTACTGAGGATCAAACTCAGGACCTTGTGCTTTCAAGGCAGGCAGATGAACCACTAAGCTAAATGCCCGGCCCTGCAGAGGCATGTTTAAGCATACTTGCTCGCTGTTAAATCTGCATTTCAGACCTTCTAACTAGAAGTGCTGTTTATTTGGCATGAACCTCTCAAAGGGTCAAGAGGGAGCCAGTCTGGAACTTTACACCAAAATGTGAGGTGGAAGGGCTGGGGATTTAGCTGAATGGTGCTGCGCCTGCCTTGCAAGCGTAAGGTCCTGAGTTTGATCCCTGGTTTTTAAAAAAAAAGAGTGAGATGGATTCACAGGGAGTGGTGGATACTGGCTGCTCTGTTGAGGGGACAATTCTCAGCTCCAGCCAAGGCAGCTCCTAAGGAATCCAGACCCAGTGCTGCCAGATTAGTCCTTTCCGAGAGAAGCCAGGCCCTGGGTTTTCACATGGGGGTTTTAAACAGAAGCTGCCTCAGCTCTCTGGTAACAGCTTTATTGTGATGTCATTCACATATACAATTCACATATTTAGAGTGTATGATTCAGAGGCTTTTAGTTCATAATTATTTGGCAAACATAACAATTTTAAAACATTTTCATTACCCGACATGCACAAAAAAAAACCATTACCTGTTAGTATTCACTCCTGTTAGTCCTCCCGCAAGCCTGCAAGTTTCTACCAGTTGTTCATCTACTTTCTGAACATTTCATGGAAATGAAATAATTACATGCGACCTTTTGTAGTCGGGCTTCTTTTACTATGTCGTTTTCTAGGTTCATCCATGTATCAGAATGCCATTCTTTTTAGAGCTGAGTAGTAATTCCATTATATGGATAGCCCAGAAATTTTTTACTTTTGAGGCAGGGATTTGCTATGTAGTTCAGGCTGGCGTTGAATTCACTGTGTCTTCCATGCTGGTCTTGATCTTGCAGATCCTCCTGCCTTGGCCTCCTGAGTGCTGGATTAGAGGTGTGTGCTACCATGCCCACCATTTTTTTTTTTTTTTTTTTTTATTTTT